GTATAAGAGTGTGTCTTTACTGTTTTTTGTATGAAAGTCTCACTAGAGGGCGCAAACAACTTAAAATTCAAAGAACATAGTCCTTGGGTCTATGTTTCAGCTAAGTTTTGCTGACAATACAACTCTATTTAAAATTGTGGTGCAGTGATTCCGAGGCTCACTAAACATCTGCAATTTGTTTGGTAATTTTTATATAATGTCCTAAATTTATTAATTTTTTTCAGACAAAAAGCCTGTTAAATTTACTGTTTTACACCCATCATATGCCAAATAATTAAAAAATGTCCTATGACGCCAGTTGCCATTTTGGACAAAATGTTGTAAGCTAAATTTTAAGACAACCGGTAAAAATTACGTAATTTGTAGTAGCCAAATTCATTGGGGATTTACAAAGGGTGAGCACAAGGCCTAATTTATAAGAAAAGACAAGTAAATGCAACATTGTGTACATAACATTAATTAAGACATTTCTAAACTTTGTTTGTATAATTGAATACATGTAGGGTTACATCTTGCTGTATGTAAAAGGAGAAAATATACAAATGATTTCAGTGCATTTGATGTTGCATGCAAATTTACTGTTTTTTTTAAAAAAAACAATGCTTTCCCTGAATAATTTTACCTATTCATCTGATCTTTAGATCTTAAATTAGTGAAAAGAAAAATCCTAAACTGTATCTGTTATACAGTCAGGGATGAACCCAGGGAATAAATTATTAAATTATCAATCCTTAATTATGTACTGCATAAAAACAAAACAAATTCTGTCACTGCCCAAAGATGGCGCTGTTCTCTATAATTAAGGTTTCCCCACAATAATGAAGTCACTGCACTCGCCCACAATTTCTTTTTGGCAAAGCTGATATATTACAATCACGCATTTCAAACTCATGTTACCTTCCATAGTACTACATCGCATTTGTTTAACACCCTTGCGAATATCACGTTATCTATTGCAGCTATTGAACTGTCACCAGAGGAAGAGGTTGCAGTCAAACGATTCAGATCCCCCAAATCTCTACTACACAACACATTTAGTTTGATTCCCAATAAACAGATATCGGAATATAAGTTTAGAACACGAACTGTCAATAGTCAGTTAAAGATGTGTCAAATTACGCTGCAATATCCTGAAGAATTCCAAGTAGTTGGACATGGTAGAAGGAAATCTGAAGCGGAAAATGTGGCTGCTGCGGTAGCATGTGCTAAATTGATGGTAAGGGTGATGTGATTAAAATTTTTCTTGATGAGTTTTTGGCAGAAGTACAAGGTGGTGGTCATTACGACTTCGTGTGTGCAGTGTGGGTCCCCATACTACACATAGAAACATGTCGTCAAATGTTTTGTTTATTTATTTTTTAAAAGCTCATGATGACCACCATTCTCTTATACATGTACATTTATATCATGCATTGTTGAAATTGGGTGAGGATGTCATTCATGATTCTGTTCTAATTCCAGTTTGTAAATGATTTTGTTCACCGTGAAATGGAGCAGTCAAATTGATTTCCAATGCCAGAATCATTGATATTTCGCGAGTGTCTGTATTGGACAATTTTGACTAAAATGATTGTATAGGGTTGTCATGATTACGAGGTCTTACTTAAAATAAAACCGACATATATATTAATTCACAGAACACAATTAAAGTGAAAAAAATTAAATGATTAAATTTCACCCCCTCCCCCCAACAGCCATCAAGAAATTAAATCAATGCAAAGTTATAAATAATTTTGTTGGGAAATTATGGATTGAATACTGATCAAAATATTTACATGTGAAATTAATTGAAGTCCATATATAGTTCAGGTATCTCAAGTTTTTTTTCATGGGATTAACAAGAATAAAACAAAATAATCTTTATAGACAGGTGGTCTTTTATATGAAGGTTGAATAATTTTTTTTATTTATTGTTAACTCATACATTTGATATGGGATTTGTCTAGACAGTAATGAGGTGGTTCTTTTGTTAGAAAAAGACATTTATTTGAGTTGATCCGAATCAAATAAGTTGAACATGGGGGAAATATAAACAGAATGCAAATTATTATTTTGATCCCTAAACAAAAGCCAAATCTGCAAAAGGTTGTCACATAAGAAAGGTTATACACATGTTGCTCATATGTTGTGTTATGCCTCGGGACTGCTGAAAAGTGTTTACTCTAGGCAGGTGGTCCTTATATAGAGGTAGTTACTAACACAGGTTTGACTGTATATATATTACATAGTTTTGTTCTTGGAATCAACAATGGATTCTACAGTCAGTGTATTATATATATTATCTATTACTAACATTGGTGCATGTGGAATTTCTCACTGCAGGACTATGGAGTGCTAGATGAGAAACTCAGACCAGTCATGCCAGAATATGGAGTTTACAGTCAAATGCAAATAAGAGAATTTGTGAGGAGAGAGACACTGCCAATGTGGTTGCGTATTGATGAGGAATTACAGAATGATATTACCAATGCACTGGATAACTGGAAGGTAATTCATTAATTTATTGCATAGAATTACTAAAAAAAAGTACAATACATCATTGCTCTTTAGCACATACAATGTGAATAATGTACACAGGTAATAAAGATGTTTTCCGATCCAATTTGAGATCATTGCAACTTTTCTGTGATTTGGAATACCACCCATTAGATATTTACTGCCTTAACAAAGTCTTTGCAAAATTATTTCAACAACTCAAATGATTCATCTTAAATAAATCACTTATTCAATTCAATGTGTAAACATACATTATTTCATTCATTTCAACCCTTCTTGAACCAGAGTTCACTAAAGTTTGGAGCTGTTAAGTTGACCTTCAAATTGTGATAAAATTTGCATATGGCTTGAAAAAACATAATCATATTAATATTTTATTGTGCGTTCAAATGTTTGGAATACATAATTTCGGGATTACTGCTGGAATTTATCTATTAGTTTATCTGGTCCTAACTGGATTGAACCAGTTTGAGGACTTCTAGCTTGTGTTCTTCTTATTTAGAGCTGCAATGTCAGACAAGATCTCCATGAGGACACTGTGTCAAATGATGTGATAGACAATAGCACTGACAATGAGGATATGTATAAAATGAGAGAATACTTGTCAGAAGAGGATCTAGATAGATTGCTATGGAAAAGTGACACAATGAGACAACATTTAGAATTTTTAGAAAATGATGAATCTTTATCAAGGAAGAAGATGAGGGAATCTGTTGCTAAGTTACCAATACTTGCAATGAGGTGAGGAGAACAATATCATTGCCTTGTATATGTTGCTATACTTTCTTGAGGGATTATACACCAATCTGAAACTTATTTTTATAAAAGCTAGTTTCCAAATATTTTTTTATATATAATCCCATGGAAGGGTTGAGATGTTATCGTACACAAAACTGTGGTGGCAATCGCAATTTTAAATTGATTTTTTGAGGGGCTTAATAAAATTTTGCCAAAACGAACCATTTAATTGTTAACGTAATCCCTTGTTAACCAACTGTATATAAGGCGGTGGTCTGTATAGCCCGGCAGACAACCTTTTGGAAGCTGGTATAACAAAAGGAAGTCACTAGTGTCAGACGTTAAACTATGTAATACACATCCGTTCTGTATTACGTTACACAGTGCATGAGATAATGGAATTTATTTTGTGATTTCCTTGAAGCTGTTGGTCAGACTGATTTTTCTGTATTTTTTGATGAAAGAAGGTTTATTTTAAATTAGAAGATAAACTTTTGAAATTTTTTACCATCAGATCTGAGATTTACTCTGCCATTGAAAATAATCAAGTAATAGTATTAGAAGGGGATACAGGATGTGGCAAAACAACACAAGTACCACAGATCATATTGGATGAATATATCAGAAATGGACGAGGTGCTCACTGTAATATAGTAGTTACACAGGTAATGAATTCGATTAGACCAGAAGCAACCGGTTTTGTAAACTAGTTGAAACTAGAATCAGAGCAGATGAAACTGGTTTCGTAAACTGGTTGAAACTAGAATGTTCCTGATAGAACTAGTCAGTGTATGTGTGGTTAACACATTGGGCACTTCATATAAAAGTCATATTCTGCCCATGATGTGAACATTTGTGTGGCACTTGATGTATTACATTTCTTTTTATTTTTTTTACTAGATTCATTTGATTATGACATTCCCCCTCCCCGTTCAGACGAAGTCCGAAAACGGAGACTTACAATCCAGTCTCCGTCCGTGCGTCTGTGCGTTCGTCCGGAGTCGCATCTCAGAATCCCTTGGACCGATTCCGTTCATTCTTTGCATGTGCTTGTGCCTAGTACCTTATGTGGGACATATGCACATGCAGTGGTTTAGCGATTCGATTCAAAATGGCCGACTGGCAGCCATCTTGTTTTTTGAAAATGTTGTATTCAGGACATGCTTTGTCAGTTGTCATTCAAACTTGGTACATAGATTATACATGTTAGGATACATGTCCATGACGATTTATTTCGCAATTGGATCAAAGATGGTCGACTGGCAGGCATCTTTTTTTTTTTTTATGCGGTATCTTGGACGTGCTCTGTCAGTTTTCATTCAAATTTGGCACATACATGTACTTTATACATGTTAGAATGCATGTCCATGACAATTTATTTCAAAATCTGGTCAAGGATGGTCGATTGACAGTCATCTGACATTTTGGCCTTACTACTATATTTCCACAATTTATGTACCATTTTCATTCGTATTTGGCACATACATCATACAGTGTGTTTCATAATCAGATCAAAGATGGCCGAATAACGGCTGTTTTTATTTTTGGCCATATTACTACTACACGGAACACATGTTTTGATGTAAATAAACAATCTGTTGTTTACGCCACTTGGAATTCAAGTTTCAAGGACACGCTCGTGACAACCCCTCCGCTTTAATATGACAAAGAGAACTTTCAAAAATTTTACGGGGACTGTGTCATTTTCAATGACTTGTTTGTTATCAGTTTACAGCAACCTGTTGATTACCAAAACTCAGACCCTGACAGAACGCATTGAGGCAGATATGTACTGGGTATAACAGAAACAAATAAAAATGATTTGTCATGTTTCATTTGATCTTTCAGCCCAGACGAATAAGTGCCGTCTCTATAGCTGAGAGAGTAAGTGATGAGAGGGCAGAAAGAGTTGGACAGACAGTAGGATATCAAGTCAGGCTGGAAAACAGATTGCCTGAAAAAGATGGTTCTGTATTATTCTGTACAGTGGGAATTTTACTGAAAAAAATACAAAGTAATCCATCATTAAATGGTTAGTTGATTGTTTTCATTTTTTCGTGCTGGAGGGGGGTTGGGTTGTTTTTTATTCAACAGAATTGCAATGTTAATGTTGCAAAAAATATACATTTGATAATAAATTTGTAATCAAATTACCAATTATTATATATACCAAAGATATCATTTTTCAATTTACAGCTGAAGAATTTGAGCAAATCATTTGTGTGTGTATGTGAAGTATAATATAGAATTATTTTACTGTACTGTAATGGCCTTTTCTGTAATTATGTAAATCCATGTTATTTTCTTTAAAACTACACACTTGTTGTTTCTTTATTTTCACAGACAATTGAGCTTGTAGTTGGCTTTTAATGAAAGCACTGCAAATTATCAAAACTTTGAAATAAAAAGTTATTAAGTGCACTTGAAGATATATTTGCATTCATTTGGTATACATGTGGTTAAGCCATGCATCGTTATTTTTATTTCCAGGTGTAACACATGTGATAGTGGATGAAGTCCATGAAAGAGATGTAAATACAGATTTCCTGTTGATTTTACTGAAAGAGTTGGTCCAGAAAAACTCTGATATTAAAATTATATTGATGAGTGCATCAATAAATACGCATATGTTTTCAAAATATTTTAATAAGTAAGTATAAATAAAAAAAAAATATTTGTTTATCAATCAAGACTGTTATGAACTTGACAATGGAAAGATTCTTAATTTTATCTCTTAACTCCCAGTCATTCCAAGAGAGAAATTTGAAAGTAATTATTTCCTGTTCCTTATTCCCAGCTGTCCCATCATTAGTGTACCAGGATTGATGTATCCAGTCAAGGAATATTTCTTGGAAGATGTTTTCCGGATGGTTGGTGATGTGCAAAGAAGAAATGGGAATGGCAGACCTTCTTTTGATAAACCTGATACTAACTGGGAAATGGTATCCCGAGTTATAGAATACATTGATACTAACAAACCTCATGTAAGTATAACAACGAGTATATAGCATTCTTAGGACAGGACCACATGTCTTCTGTAATGGTAGATATAAAAACCTTGCTGCAGCCAATCAGTTGGCTAGATGCAGAGTAACCATGTCATAGTTACCATGATATTCCTCAAGTCTATGATTGGCAGATGTAAATGTTACATTAGTTACCAGTCCAAATTGACTGGTCTAGCACGTTGCTGCCAAGTCTGTGTTCTTATTTACTCATTTTGGTTTTTGAAAAATTAAAAATGCTGTTTTAGACTTGAAACCTTCCTGCTTGAATGTTTTGATATTCGGTACACACACATGTATGTAGCTACCTTTGCTGGTCCTCTGTCAGTTTTGTTCAGTTTGTGATAGTATGTTCAGTTCATTTTTTAGCTCCGCTGTCGACTTTGTCGAGCGGAGCTTATCATACGAGTGATTGTCCGTCGTCGTCCGGTGTCTGTCGTTCGTCATCCGTGCCAATGTTTTACATTTTCGACTTCTTCTTGAAAACTAGAGGCTTGAATGCTTTGATACTTGGTGTATATGTACCTTGGGTAGACCTCTCTCAGATTTGTTCATTTCATGATCATATCTTCAATTCTCTAATTTTGGTGAATATTTTTGTCATTTTTGGTAAAAAGTGATATTTTCTTGTTAAAAACCACAATCATTTATGATCAAAAATGATATTTTTGAATTCTTGTTGAAAACAGCAAGTCCCATTGCATTGATACTATGCATATTGTTCATTTTCTAATGATATCTTCTGTTCTTTAATTGAAATATGCATTGCTAACAGCGGAGCTATCTCAGCCGAGAGGCTGCTTGTTTTAGCCTTTATTTTTACCACTTTTGGTAAAAAATGGTATTTTCGATTTTTTTTGAAAACTACCAGCACAATTGCTTTGATACTCAATATGTAGGTACTTAGATGACAATATTTTCAATTGTCTATTTTGTGCAAATATTTTTGTCTTTTTTGGTAAAAAAAATTATATTTTCATCTTTTTCTTGAAAACTACCTGCTCAATTACTGTGATACTTCTATGGTTTGTAACAAGATAATTGTAATGGCCATGGCTATCAACCACCATGTGTAATAACTACCATAGTTTTGATATGGCAAGAACATTGTGGTAACAATAAATATAGCAAATAGCAACTATCTTATAGAACATCATCAACTTTGTTCTGAAGATGACCCTATGAAAAGATAGTATCTTTTCAACAAGTTTTTATTTTTTCCCAGGGTGCAATTTTGTGCTTTCTCCCAGGTTGGCAAGATATTGTTGCTGTTAGGAACAGACTTCAAGAGTTATGGCCATCGGTAAGAATTTACAAGATCTATTTTGTCAAATCCTTCATTATGTATAGACCACAACTCTAAACCATGATGTACCAAATCTAATAAGATAGGCGTAGTAAAAATGTGTAAATTTTAAAGCACAAGTTCTTGAACTGTTTGATGAATGAAAATAAAAAGAAAACGTACCTAAATTTGTTTCCATGGAAACAATGGATTGGAAATTGATCAAAATATAGGTTTACAATTCAAAATCCAAATAGTCATGCAGTCATGTGACAACATTTCATGAAATTAAAATCAAACGTATATTAGTCGCATCTACAGTGCTTTGTATAATATTAATAATTAATAATTTTTGAATGTTTTTCTAAAGCAAGATTTACACTGGATATTTCCAGTGCATTCTAGTGTTCCAATGTCACAACAACAAGCAATATTTGAAAAGTAAGTATTCAGGTAACTCAATTTTTTGAGAACACTGATCGTTACCTCCATTATGTCAATTTTTGCTCTGATAAGTTTGATAATTGTTAATTCTGTAAAACGAAATGAAACATTCAATATAGCTCAATGAGAAATGTACACAATCGTGGTTTTGACATTTCTGTTTCAGACCTCCAGAGGGTGTGAGAAAAGTAGTATTAGCTACCAACATTGCAGAGACTTCAATTACGATAAATGATGTAGTCTATGTAGTTAATGTTGGCAATCATAAAGAGTTACGTTACAATATAGAAACAGGGGTAAGTCTGGCACCCACTTGTGTTTGATGCAAGTATTCTGAGAATATGTAATATGTTCAAATAAACTTGTATTTCCTTTTTAATATTATGCTTGTTAGTCCCCGTTCGGACGAAGTCCGAAAACGGGGACTTATAATTCGGTCTCCGTGCGTCCGTGTGTCCGTGCGTCCGTGTGTCCGTGCGTCCGTCCGGAGTCGTATCTCAGAGTCCCTTGGACCGATTCCGTTCATTCTTTGCATGTGCCTAGTACTTTATGTGGGACATATGCACATGCAGTGGTTTAGCGATTCGATTCAAAATGGCCAACTGCCAGCCATCTTGTTTTTTGAAAATGTTGTATTTTGGACATGCTTTGTCAGTTTTCATTCAAACTTGGTACATAGATTATACATGTTAGGATACATGTCCATGATGATTTATTTCACAATTGGATCAAAGATGGCCGACTGGCAGCCATCTTGTTTTTTGAA